GGCGGCGGCCACACCCGCTGCGCCCGGCGAGGACGCGCCTTGCCGCCGCGCGGAGGGGCGAGGCGGCCGCGGGAGGCGCTGGCGCGGCGCGGCTCCTCCGGCCCGGCGCCCGCGGGCAGGTCCTGCCCCTTCCCTCCTCCTCCTCCTCCTCCTCCTGCGGCGGCCGCCGCTTGTAAATCCCCGGGCGCTGCCTCCAGCCCCGCTCCCTGCTCCGCACTCGCCGCAAGCCGCTGCCTTCCCCCCTTTGGGGGGCTGCGGAACTTAACCTGGAAAGGGCCTTAACAGACGTTTAAAAAAACTCTCCGCAGGCCCCAGAGGTTTGGGGGGAAACATGGAACTCGCCCGCCTTTACGCACCGTCACGTTTCCGTGAAAACATCCTGCCCGGGAGCCTCGCCTCCCACTTCGGTTCTCTGCACTGCTCGCCTCCCGGAACGTCTCCAAACACCTCGGCAAGGTAACCGCTCCACGCCAGTTTTACCTTCAACGTCAAGTAGTGGAGAACCCGTTCCTGCCAACCAGTAAAGGATACTTTCATTTCTTAAAATACACCTGCTGCTTCCTTGATCTTTTCACATATTCTGAAGAAACGTTTCTTTTCTAGACGTCTTTGAGGAACAGTTTGCAAACATTAAAGCCCCAAAAGACGAAAGGATCCAATGTAACAACAAAAACCCTTCAGCGACGGAACAGGTTGCAATCACACCTTTTATTCAGAACCATGAGGACTGGAATCTTGATTTGCTTTTAGGGGTTGCAAGGACCCAGGTTCAGTCCTTTGCATCTATCTGGGACTGATAGTGACTGAGCTAGTAAATGGATGGTTTAATTGTAAAACACCCACCCTCTCCTGCCTCCCCATTTAATCCAGGGCTTAAGGCACACCCAGTTCTGCTTTGGATAACTCCAGCTACATCTACACCTTGTGTGTTGCCCATAGGTTCATCGAGGGCCTTTGCCGCTCCTGAAACGCACTGCCCTTCCTCAGCTCCTCCAAAGATGATTTTGCCCCCGCTCCCCAAGAAGCCTGGCAGGTTTCAAGGCAGCTCTGAAAGAAGAACAGCCGATCTGATCGCATCCTGTGTCGTCAGGAAGGGCGTCGATACCCGCTTCCTGGCAGGAAGCATGAGCAGTCGTGGGCACGGGCAGAGCCGGCCCGTCCTAGCCCTCTTGCCGCCAACCAGCTGCAGGGCCTCTCTCCAGAGCCAGCACCAGTGTGGAGCCGCAGGCTGGGGAAGCATCAGACCCGGGCTCAAGGTTATATGAGAGAGAGAAAGAACGAATATGGCCCAGAACACCAACTAGCAGCAGAAATTCTGGCCTGGACCAACAGGAAGCCTGACCTGCCAAGGCCATTTCCTGGTGCCAGTTCTGGAGTTTGGAGGGCCCCGAATTCAATTCCCCTCCCCTGGCGGGTTGACCTCGGTGCCCCACTCTTGACCTCCTTTGCAGGTTGGCTCCCACTCGCTCGCTCGCTCGGCAGGCAGGCAGCAAGTCCGCATTGGCCCCCGCGGCTTCTCTTCCTTCTCACCACCACTGCTCATTACTCCCCACAAGGAACGTGGAGAAGCAGGGTGGAAAGGTGGATACCTGCCCGTTTCCGGCCGGGATTCCCAGCCCAGTGACCTGGGGAAGGCAACATCTGGCTCCACCAGGCGGTGGAAAGCTGCCCCAAACAGCTGGGGAAGAGGCCTTTGGCCTACGGTGGGTGGCGGAGTTGAGAGGAGGACGCTCACAGCAGTTCAGTATTCGGATAGCATCTAACCCTGTAATGCTGTGGATCAAACGTTCATTCAAACCTCCATGCATCAAGAGGTGTGGGAAAGAGTAAACCATGCAGGTGGACTATTAACTGTGCTGCTTTTCACGACACCCCCCGTTCGTTTCTTTCCGCAGCCACACGCGAGCTGAAGCTGGGAGAGCAGCCCCAGAGGGCTCCGAGGCGGCCACGTGTGGGTGACGGTCAGCAGCGGTTTGGGGGCCCCGCCCCCCAGGAACAGCGAGGAAATGTGCGAGGAAGAAAGCGATGCTGATGATCCAGGCGTGGGGCCGGAGCCTTCGAGGCTAAGGAATGCCGGGCCGGCCACCCACAAAGCCAAGCAGTTCCCCACCCCCTTCCATGCCGTCACGGGCCTGTTGGCTCCGCCGCAACGGAGGTCTGCAAACGCCACGAGAAGCAGAGTGAGAGGATGGGTAGACGCTTTAATGGGGAGGGAGAACACAGTCTGGCTGGAGTGGCTCGGACTCGGGCCCGTGAGGGCACGTCCCCACCCCTCATCCGTGGCTGGCGACACCCCGGCAGAGCGGGGCCCAGCCGCCGCCTCCCTCAGGGCAGCAGCTCCTTAATGCCCCTGAGGGACTCGGTGCAGGACCGGATCAGCGAGCAGAGCTGGATGCTCGTCTCGATGGACGCGTCGTGCTGGAGCTGCTGGCTGGCCCAGCTGATCTTCCGCAGTATCGCCTCCTCTGCCTCCGTCAAGGCGCTGCTGGGCAGCGGAGAGGCCAGGGCCGCCACGGGCGCTGGGGGGACCGGGGCGGGGGCAGAAGCCCTGAGTCCTGACGCGGCGCCCTCGCAGTGTTCTGGCCGGGGCACGTGGCGCGGAGTCGGCAGGGAGGAGAGATACCCGGAGGAAGGGCCGTCTTCACAGTTGGCAGCCAGCTGGTGTTCGCGCACCTGCGACAGGGCAGCCTGGGCATTCAGGGCTGGAGAGAGAGGGGCACACAGGCGTGACCACGGGATCCTGGCCCTCCCGAGGTGCAGCAAGCCAGCCCAGCCGTCTTCCCACAGGCACCCCAGTGAAAGACACGACTCTGAATGACCGGCTCTTCTCAAGCACAGAAGACCCTGGCACATCCTGGGTTAGCAAGGCAGCCACGAGCACAGAAATCACCTCAGCTGCCAGAACCATCCTCGCGTGACTACTGAGCGAGGGCTGCTTGCCAGGCCCATTTTCTAGGAACAGTGTTGCCTCAGCGGCTAGGAAGACTGCGGACGAGTTCCAGTGCTCCAGCTGGCAGCTAATTAGCAAATAAAGCCCTTTGCCCCAGGCCCCATTCCATGCATCGAGGCCTCACTCTAAAGTGACTATGGGGACAGACCTTAAGGTGCAACAGCAAAAAGCTCCTTCCCCGCCCCCCGCTCGCCAAACGTACCAGGATTGTCCTTGTCGACATCAGAATTAAGTTCTTGGCAGGCAACGCAGTACAATTTCTTCTGCTTGTCTTGCAGCAAAATGGTCTAAAAAAAACCAAGGTTGCAGAGAGGAAAGGGGTGTGTGGAAAGGTCAGCAAACAAAAGAGCAGGCGAGGAAAGGAACGGGTGCTGAGGTGCAGGAAACAAGTACCCAGGCTAGTCACTAAAACTTGATCCAACAGCACCCAGAGGCAAGGTAAATGGGGAAAGGAAAGTGGCCACAAGTTATCAGTTGAGGAGGAGGAGACAAGCGTTCTCCAATCTGAAGCACATACAAAATCGTTCAATGTATAGCTGGGCACATTCTGCTCCATTATTTTGCAGTCGGCGCCACCCACACCAGCCCCTCCTGCAAAAGCCACCGCTCAGCATCTGCAGCAGAGGAGCAGCACCACCACACAGGGTGGGTGGACTGGGGACATTAGTGGCATCTGGAGACCAGACCATGGCAACGGGTTTTCTGTTTTAACTGGCACTGATCAGAGAAAGCTCTTCTCAGGCCACAGCTGTGGTCCATAATGGTGGTTCTGGGGGCAGACAGCCAGCACTGGACCCCCAGGACTTCTCCAGAGATACGACGCCCCTTACATCTTGCTGCCATGCTGCTTTGCCCTAGAGAGGCCGCTTCAGCCCTCTGTTTGCAGCTCTATCCTCCACCAATGCAGGGACTGCGCCTTAGAAGCCACGCTCAAATTACACGGGGTGTTTTCTGAAGCTTGCGGGGCTTTATTTGGCTGCAACTGGGAAGGCCAGTCAGGGGCGCCTGCATTCATGTCAGGCTGTCCCACACTCCCCAGTCTCATTAAATCATTCTTTCGTCTCCAGGGCGCCAAGGCGCAAAGCTCCTCCTTGCCGGGTGCGTGCGTGCAGGGGGTGGGGGAGCAGGGAGGAAACGCTCCTTACCGAATTGGTGCAAAGCTGCCATCTAGGTCAGCCTCCCGCCAGGGATCTCCGGGCCTGCGACTCCCATTGCGCCCCACCAGCGGGATGGCTCTCAGCGAGGCCACCACGCTTTGTTCCCCCCTTTCCCAGCTGGCGCTCAGCACATGCCCAGGAGCACCCTCGCCTCTTACCCCGCAGTCCTCGCAGCAGTCGCCCAGCATGCGGTAGCCCTTCAGCAGGTAGTCGCTCATCAGCTTGCTGATCTTATCCTGTCGCTCCCGCCGGGCCTGGATCACCTTCAGCTCCGCCTCCGAAGGCGGCTCCCATTCCGCGTCGTCGGAGCCTGCGCCGGGAGGGAAGGAGGCGGCGCGGAGGGTGAGGCGGCGGGCCCCGGCGACGGCCCCGGCTCCGGCAAGGGGCCCCGTCTCCGAGCAGGCCCGGCCGGCCCGGTCGTCATGGTAACCCGCGCTCCCCGGCCTCACTTACCTGTAGCGTTGAGCGCCATGATTCCCCCGGCGGCCGCTTCCGGCTTTAGCCACGCCCCCGGGAGCGCCGCTCGCGCGAGGGCCGCTCACGCGCCTTCGACGGCAGCAGCGCCTCCTCGTTTCCCCTCCGCCGGAACCCGCGGCGCTGGCAGGGAGGTTCCGAACGGCTGTGTTCCCCCGCTGGGCGTGCGTGCCTGCCGCCGCTGGGGTCGGGTGTCGTTTTCAGTCTGCCTCGAAGCCCTAGGTTTGATCGATTAATGTACGCATC